TTATATCTTCATTAATATTTATTTTCCTTAGTCTATAAATTAAATGGTATTTAATTCAATTGGCATAGTATGAGATTTTATATATACATTAAAAATAAAAAATTCTCTTTCCTAAATTTGGAAAAATGTCAAAAGGAGTAAATTCCATATGCACCCATCTTCTAAAGATTACATTTACTACTAATATACATTTCTTCCAAAAAATATTTCTTTTTTCTTAAATCGGTTTAATGATTGAATTCAATTCTCGTAGATATACATGCATATGTGTGTGTGTGTGTATATTTACGTAGACATGAGATGTAAGAGATAAGAGATTAAACTTGTGTATGTCGATATATATATATATATATCATATACATGTATGTGAACGAGCCACCATCCATTCTTTCCACATGAGGAAAAGCAACTTACTAAAAGATGACAAAAGTTTCTGTCTTTTGTCCCTACCATAAGCACTCCCTCTCTCTCTCTCTCCCCCTCGACGAAACCTTCATTCCTCTTTTATTTCGATTTTTATTTCCTTTTTTTTTCCCCAATTTCATGAATCTTATAAGCATTTTCTTCCATAAATCTTCGGCTCAATCAATGAGATAAAAAAAAAAAAGCTTTCTTCCCCGCCTCGAAAAATACGGCGCCGTTTTCTCGCCTCCACCGCCGGGAAACAGAGTCTCCATAAGAAGGAGTATGGAGGAGACTCTCCGCCTTTCTTCTCCTCCGTATACGCCGGAGAGGATAGCCTCCTCGTTAACATGACTCTCGTTCGCCGTGCGGCGGCTCTCGGCGCGTGTACGTCCTATGTCATCTTTTATGTATATATATATATATATGTATATATTATTACGGGTCTGAATATTATATATATATGTACGGTATTTTGGAAGTGTTATTTTGTTTTGTTGATGTGTTGCAGTTTGCTTGGACGGAAGCTTACCTGCGTATCATCTAGACAGAGGGTTCGGTTCTGGTTCAGACAATTGGCTTCTGCAATTTGAGGTAATTTTCTCCCCTTTTTTTTTTTACCCTTTTTAATATATTTATATTTCTTGCATTTTAAATAGAAAAATAGTGGAAAAAAATACCGTTTAAATGTTTTAAAATGGGATTCTCTGATCAAAAGAATCTTATTGTTTCCCTCTTACGAAAATGACACTTGTGAAAAAAAAAACTGACCGTTATATAAGGTCTTAAATGGAATAGTTTTTATTTTTGGCTTTAGTTTTTAATTTTTGGTTTTTAACTTTTTGATTTGATAAATTTGTAAATCTAAAAATTTGTGACTTTTGATTTTTAGTTCATTTTTTTTATAAAGTAGATTTCCGTATTTTTAGTAAAACCAAAATTTAAAAAATTTGATTGTCAAATTTTTTATTTTTAAAATTCAAAAACTCCGAAAAACCTCTTCCCATCCAATATTTAAAATATGTTAAAGTGATTGCATTTCATTTGTTATGGTTTGATAAAAATTTAGAGAATTCATTATCTGTTTTTTTTCTTCTTCTTCTAAATCTTTCATATAATTTTGTGACATTTCAACTCTTTGAAACTCTTAGTTATAAAAATAACAAATGTTTAAATGCGAGATTTAGGGTAGTTAATGTCGTGCCACAATAGCGATATATAATTTCAACCCACATAAAACAATTAGTCAATGGGTGTTGTACCTTCCATCGGATAGGCAAAATAATTGAATCCAACCAACCTCACATTCCAAGCCAAGGGATTCTCAATGTTCAAATTCCTTTTCATATTCACGCAATTAGGAATATAACATACTGTGGTTTATACATTATAGAGCAAGTATGTATCATGGTAACAAAAAATAGGGAGATAATTTATTATTTTCTATCTTAAATTATGTAAACATTTTTATTTTTCAATTTCTTTATTTTATCACAAAATATTTGGCTTTGAAATGAAATGACAATGCCGTTTTGTTATAAATAAAATATTAAAGTTACACAATAAAAATTTTGAATATTAAAATTTATTCCATCCACCACATTTAAAAAAAAAAAAGAGAACGTAATACGGCGCCGTTTTAGGGGCTTAAGCCCCCCACCAACCCAAACGCATGGTGCTTCGAGCTGGTTAGACTGTGATATCCACGTCATCTATTTATTATGTATTTACAATATTCTCTCTTTTAATAATTATAAATGGACAAAAATACCATCTGAATTTCAACTTTTTAAATGACTTTTTATAATTTTAAAATTTTTTATTTTTTTTTTCGATTTTGCTATTCAGATGTTTTAGTTATGGTGCATTAGATTTTCTGTTAAATACTTCTTTTGTCGTCTTAAATCATGTAGGCACCATGCATCCATCCACATGGGTGCATGGATTATGCAAATTTATAATGATTTGATGGTGTAAAAATGTTTGTTTTTAACTGTGTTAAAAGGAATAAAAATAGTTATATTTGAGAGAAACCTCTAGGTGAATTAGTAAGGATTTCGTCTATCATCCCAAAAATTACGGATTCGATTCTTTATCCACTCATCTATCGTCCGTAAATTATGACCGTCTTATTTTGATGTGTATATTATGTGGTCGTACATGTGGGTGGAGTTTTACCCAACCAATGCACTTGAAAAGTATCGGTTGGGGTTTTCACCATAACAGTAAAATAAAATTAAAATAAATAAAATATAATATATTTTGAGAAAATAAATATATTTTAAATGAAAATTGAATACCAATTGAATTAAAAAATATATATAAAATCCTGAAAGAAATTTTGTAACCAAAATTTTAAAATTATTGAAAAGGAAATGAATTGAAACCGAAATTATTATCCTTGAAACGTAGGAATATATCTATTGTTAATAAAAGAAGTTTGGATAGTGGTATCAATTTTTAATTGAAACCATTTAGTACATGTCCTTTCCATTTGGCTCACTTGATCTAACAATTTTAATTTACTCCGCAACATATTAAAGTTTTATTGATTTATCTACTATTAGCCATATGCATTTAGATAATAACGTGAGATTCTTTTTATACGATAACGAACAATTTATTTTTTTTATCATAAAAACAATTTATTCTTCTGAAATCAAATATTTTAATGTTTTGGTCCAAACATTATTATGTTTTTTTTAAGTAATATCTTTATGCTTGCGTGGAGTTGTACTACATCATAGTTAATTAGATAATCAAATAAGGAAATTAGAGTGTAATTAAATAAATAATAATTAATTGTGAAGGGAGGTGGGTGGTGCAATGACGTGGCATCGTGCGCGGAGAGAGCGACGAGCCGACGCGGTTCGACACGTTTCATGGACAAGCGTGCCGTCTTCTCCGGCATCATGAGCAATAATGCCGCTCTCAACCCAGGTACGGACCACCGCATTACTCACTTCTCGTTTTTAATAATTTCATTATAATATTTTTGCTTCATATATTTATATACATATATATTCAATAGTAGAATTATTAGATATCAATGAAAAGTGGAAACGGACCATAATGGTCCCTAATGCCACATTATTCCTAGATAGCAGCAGAAATATACATTTTTTGGTGGAAATTAGTTTTCTCGTGAGACTTTTTTTTTAAAAAATTTAATTTTTTGTAAAATTATTTTTGAATAATTTTGTCTCTGACAAAAAAGTATATATTTTATTTAATTCGTGTTTTTTTTTGTTTCCTCTATTTTTTCTCTCAGATAACATATGCATTCTTGTTTTTTATTCATTCTAGTATCAGTATATAATATTCTTTTATGTAAAATAACAATATTTCAACTTTCATATTATTATTATATTTTATTTTAGAAATAAAGAGGCATACGACATGTTCCGTCTCGTCTCCTCAGCCTTTTTCACGTGACGGCTCAAAAAGCTCATTAGACCGACGGTTCAACCCTTTTCTTTTTAATAAAATAATCATTATTTATTTGTCTTCTTCTCCATGAGAAAACCACGCTCGACCTACCTCGACACTTAAATTACTGTTTTACCCACCTTAGTATGGATGGTTTTTGATCTTTGGGAGGGTAACAACGTCATCTACTTCTACCCGTGGGCATGTGGAGTCCAGCTTAGTCTGTCTCTATCAAGGTTGCCGCTCGGCTGCATCGTGGGTTTACACTTTTCTCTTTGTAGGACATACATACACACACATACATACATACATACATACGTACGTACATGCATACACTGAATATATATAACATATTGATAGAGAGTGATGGTCCATGGCATCTCTCTCTCTCTCTCTCTCTCTCTCTCTCTCTGGGTCCCAATTTTAGGTTACGTCCCCACGGAAAAGTTAATTCATCCTCGGTTTCAACATTGATCGAATGGTCTGTTGCGTGTTATTCAACGCATCTCCATCTCATTAATTATCAATAGTAGTCCTTGGATAAGGGGAGGGAAACCCATCTCATGTTCGCTATTACATGTCATATGTGTGTGTGTGTATATACATGCACGTATATACGAGAGGGCCATTTATATAAATTTTTCTACATTAAAAAATGTACCGACTTTTAATCGACAGATTTTTACAACTGGAACAAAGTGAGGCTACGTTACTGCGATGGAGCTTCATTTGCCGGAGACAACATATTTGACAACGGGGTATTCCCCCCCCCCCCCCCATTTTTTAATCCATTCGATACCAATCGGTTTTCATAAACCGGTTTTTCGTCGTCTGGGTTTTTGAATTGGATCGTGTCGGTCCGGAAATTGTATCGCTGGATTCGTAAATTTACTAATGTTTACCAATTGAGACAGACATCACTGCTTTATTTCAGAGGACAAAGAATTTGGAAAGCCATCATTCTTGATCTTCTTCCGAAAGGATTAGCTCACGCCCGTAAGGTAAATGCTTTCCCGGGTCCCCTTCGGTATGGTAATTCGGTTTAGCATCTTTGGAATTTGGTATCCAATTTGAATGATCTATAGGAAGATTATATATTGAAAACATAATCCCCACAGTTTGGAAGTATTTTTGAAAATTAACGTGCGAAAAACTGCGGATATTGTGGCTAATCACATGATTTCTCTAAACCGTTGGTTTGGTATCGGTACTCAGGCTTTGTTGACCGGTTGTTCAGCGGGCGGTTTGGCAACGTTTTTGCATTGTGACAATTTCACGAGTTATTTGCCTAAGAACGCAAGTGTTAAGTGCATGAGTGATGCTGGATTCTTTCTTGACGCGTGAGTTTTCTTGTTCCAAATCGTTCTTTCACCGTACTGGAATCGGTATATTAACGAACCGGTTTTTGTTTTTTTACAGAATCGATGTAGCATCAAACCGGACCATGAGATCCTTTTACGAACAACTTGTCTCTTTACAGGTATGTTCTCTTTCCTTTTTGTCCCTTTCTATTTTCTTAGGTGAATATTTTACTTTTAGTAAACCGAACCAAATCAAACCAAACAAAGTATTGCTGTTCAATCCGGTTCGGTCTGCACTCGGTTCGAATATTTTAGTTAGTTTCTTATATTTGAGGACCGGACTTTTCAGGGTGTGCAGAAAAACCTCGATCCAAGCTGCATGCGTTCATTTTCTCCAGACCCGACTCTGGTACAATCTAATATCCCAAAAATATCTATCTTTTTGTTTCGTAGATTATTTTTATATAAAATTATTAAAACAATCTCTAAATCATTAAAAAAATAATAACTTTGCAGTGTTTTTTTCCGCAATATGTGTTGCGATTTATCAAAACGCCATTTTTCATCCTGAACTCAGTCTATGATGTTTTCCAGGTTCGTCCTTCTTTTCGATCTTTTTTTAAACTGTTTATCGAGTTAATGAAATTGTGAAAATGATTGGGACAGGGTGTTTGGGCAGTGAGAAAGTGAAGATAATAGCTAAGAAAATGGTCTAGAATTCAGATAGAAAATAACCAAACCGAAAACCAAATCTCATGTACTTAATACCCTTCTTGGTTTATCTTGAAAATCTTGCTATATGTTCGGGTGTCTCCTCATGTGCCAGTTTTGGTGTTAGTTCCCATCGAAGACAGACGTGAAAGTACGGATCAATTATTGGTTATTGAAACCGGTACCGGTTAGTTTGGTAAATCTAATCCGGTTTAACAAATCCGTAAACAGTTTCATCATGGGTTAGTTCCACCTTCTGCCGATCGGACCGGACGTTGGAACCGATGCAAGCTTAATGCAACTGCGTGTAATCCGCATCAGCTCGATGCTCTTCAAGGTTCAAACATTTTCCCACCTCAATCTCATACACAATTTTGTATCATTCCTTTCTATCTTAATCACAGTTTTGGTATGTGTCGGTTTGGTTTGAACCTTGAACCAGACCGATCCGAACTAAAACAAATCGCCTCTCAAGTCCTAGAGTTGGATCAATTACAGGGCATAGCTCTGAAAATCGGCTTTGGCCCGTCGGATGGAATGATCCGAACCGTTGAATTAGCGGTACAATTCTGAAATTGTCTGGCCCGGTATAACGCATAACCGCCGGTTTTGTTTTGGGTTTCGATCAGGTTTCAGGCGAGATATGTTGGGAGCTCTGATGAATTTCTATAAAAACTCGAGGACAGGAGGAATGTTCATCAACTCATGCTTTGATCATTGCCAAAGTGCTCTGCAAGAGACTTGGTTCGCCATTGATTCACCTAGAATTCACAACAAGGTAAACCCGGAACCCTCTTCCCCGGTTTTGAAATAACCAGAACTGAATACCGGGACTCCGGTTTGGCTCTTTATGTGAACCGGTTTCTATACCAACAACAATTGAGGATGATCTTACAAGATATTTATTGTCTTTCAGACAATTGCAGAAGCGGTGGGAGATTGGTATTATGGGCGAAAGATATCCAAAGAGATTGATTGCGCGTATCCATGCTTTGTTGACCGGTTGTTCAGCGGGCGGTTTGGCAACGTTTTTGCATTGTGACAATTTCACGAGTTATTTGCCTAAGAACGCAAGTGTTAAGTGCATGAGTGATGCTGGATTCTTTCTTGACGCGTGAGTTTTCTTGTTCCAAATCGTTCTTTCACCGTACTGGAATCGGTATATTTATGAACCGGTTTTTGTTTTTTTTTTACAGAATCGATGTAGCATCAAACCGGACCATGAGATCCTTTTACGAACAACTTGTCTCTTTACAGGTATGTTCTCTTTCCTTTTTGTCCCTTTCTATTTTCTTAGGTGAATATTTTACTTTTAGTAAACCGAACCAAATCAAACCAAACAAAGTATTGCTGTTCAATCCGGTTCGGTCTGCACTCGGTTCGAATATTTTAGTTAGTTTCTTATATTTGAGGACCGGACTTTTCAGGGTGTGCAGAAAAACCTCGATCCAAGCTGCATGCGTTCATTTTCTCCAGACCCGACTCTGGTACAATCTAATATCCCAAAAATATCTATCTTTTTGTTTCGTAGATTATTTTTATATAAAATTATTAAAACAATCTCTAAATCATTAAAAAAATAATAACTTTGCAGTGTTTTTTTCCGCAATATGTGTTGCGATTTATCAAAACGCCATTTTTCATCCTGAACTCAGTCTATGATGTTTTCCAGGTTCGTCCTTCTTTTCGATCTTTCTTTAAGCAGTTTATCGAGTTAATGAAATTGTGAAAATGATTGGGACAGGGTGTTTGGGCGGTGAGAAAGTGAAGATAATAGCTAAGAAAATGGTCTAGAATTCAGATAGAAAATAACCAAACCGAAAACCAAATCTCATGTACTTAATACCCTTCTTGGTTTATCTTGAAAATCTTGCTATATGTTCGGGTGTCTCCTCATGTGCCAGTTTTGGTGTTAGTTCCCATCGAAGACAGACGTGAAAGTACGGATCAATTATTGGTTATTGAAACCGGTACCGGTTAGTTTGGTAAATCTAATCCGGTTTAACAAATCCGTAAACAGTTTCATCATGGGTTAGTTCCACCATCTGCCGATCGGACCGGACGTTGGAACCGATGCAAGCTTAATGCAACTGCGTGTAATCCGCATCAGCTCGATGCTCTTCAAGGTTCAAACATTTTCCCACCTCAATCTCATACACAATTTGTATCATTCCTTTCTATCTTAATCACAGTTTTGGTATGTGTCGGTTTGGTTTGAACCTTGAACCAGACCGATCCGAACTAAAACAAATCGCCTCTCAAGTCCTAGAGTTGGATCAATTACAGGGCATAGCTCTGAAAATCGGCTTTGGCCCGTCGGATGGAATGATCCGAACCGTTGAATTAGCGGTACAATTCTGAAATTGTCTGGCCCGGTATAACGCATAACCGCCGGTTTTGTTTTGGGTTTCGATCAGGTTTCAGGCGAGATATGTTGGGAGCTCTGATGAATTTCTATAAAAACTCGAGGACAGGAGGAATGTTCATCAACTCATGCTTTGATCATTGCCAAAGTGCTCTGCAAGAGACTTGGTTCGCCATTGATTCACCTAGAATTCACAACAAGGTAAACCCGGAACCCTCTTCCCCGGTTTTGAAATAACCAGAACTGAATACCGGGACTCCGGTTTGGCTCTTTATGTGAACCGGTTTCTATACCAACAACAATTGAGGATGATCTTACAAGATATTTATTGTCTTTCAGACAATTGCAGAAGCGGTGGGAGATTGGTATTATGGGCGAAAGATATCCAAAGAGATTGATTGCGCGTATCCATGCGACACCACGTGTCACAACCTCATCCCTACTTCAGTTTCTATACATCAATCTCCGGTAAATTTGGAACTTTAAAATTCCTTTTAATGCGATCTTATATATAAATAAACATTTGTGAAATTCGGGTCAAGCCAACTCATCCTTCTGCATTGCAGTTTCCTAAATTTTGATTGATTTATAAAATAATACGATTATTTTTTAATAAAAATTATTGTAATATTATATAAAATTTATTACTCTCTCCGTTTCATTTTATATAATGTTTAAAAATTCTACACACATTAAAAAAATAATGTTTTATCCAAAATAAAAATATTTTGTATAGATAATTGTTATCTCTAAACATTTAGAATATTTAAATGTTACTATTAACTAAAGATAAATTTGGAAAAATATTAAAAATTACATTAAAAATATGAAACGTCATTTATTTTAAATTTTTTGTTCTAAAACATTATCTAAAATGAAAGAGGGAGTAATTTATAATAAAATTGTGAGAGAGATTAGATAATAAGTATAATTAATGAGAAGGAAATTATTAATTGAAATATTATATATAAATAAAAAGGCTCGCTTGAGTGAAATTTATTGATTTATGAATTATAAAATATAAATACGAAGAATTAACCCTCACCAGCCAGTTAATTAAAAAAAGTTTTTTTTTCATCCTCGTTAGTTATAATTTGTTTTCATATTCAATTTCTGTAAAATTCCAATTTCAATCCCAAATATATATGGTTGTGTAATGTCATGAAACGTTATTCATTAATATAATATATGTTTCTTTTTGTGTTTTTTTTCTTATTCAAGGCTGAAACTGGTTCCGGCTTTAACTGTAGTCCATTGACACGTAGTTTTTTTTCCCTTTATTGGGTTTATTTAGATTTTTTTTGGCAATGTAGGGTTGTGACTGTATCAGAAGTTAAGGACCACGCAAGTTGTCCTGATAATTTATATTTTAAGTCTCCATGTGCAGTAGATACACAATAAAAAAACCATTAAAAATAAATAAATTATGTGATGGGCTGTGAGATAATATGAAATTTTAATAATTTTAAATTCGTTTAGATGGAACCTTAAATATTATATATTTTTTGTGTGATTGGCACCGCAGCGGGGAGCGGAAAAGATGTACTCTCTCATTTCATAATATTTTAAGTTGTAACCTATTTTTATGTTACTAAATAACTGTTGTTTAGTTTTTTTAGATAAAATTTTAAAATACTTTCTAGTTTTATCCTTAATAAAAACTATCAAATTCCAATGGAAAATTAAAGGGTAAATATGACCTTTCTTATTTTTTTTTTAAATACAAAAAATCGAGGGGAGTATAATGTAAATATGGTAACGACAAACCCAAATTGATTACTCCAATCCAAGGAAACGCGCAACGCGCTCCTTATTTTAGACCCTTTCCACTTAAATTACGACTATCGTTTTTGAAAATATGTTTTCCAACGAAATAATATATATATTATTTTTTTTTTCGTGATTCTCGATTGGTTATTTATGTATTATTTTCCTCAGTTTTCTATTTAAAATATATTGACAGGTCTTTGATTTTAAAAAAATCGGTTATATTATTTATTTTGTCGAGTTATAATGGCACATATTAGTGCTCGTAGTCGTATGTATGATACCGAGTTGGAAAGTAGAGATAATTAGGCTAATGATAATTTATTCGAACTTTATAATTCGGTGGGTTTCCCCGAAGTTGTCGCGTTTAAATATGTTTCCATCTTTTTTTCTTCCAAAAAAGACATCCAATTTTTTGTTATAATGAGTAGAATTGAATATTTTGATTTGAATATATATATCTTCAAAGGTTTAATTTTTTTTATTTATGGGATAAATTTGATAAAATATATTTATATATTATTGAATTAATTTTTTATACAAAAAATAACCACATTAATTGAGAAGACTATGGTAAAAGGATGAAAAGACAGGTAACCTAAAAAAAAGTGGCAATTGGGTTTTACGATTTAAGTAAAGGCTCAAAGGTTAGTGACATAATTAATGGAATAGACAATAATTATAACACTTAATCGTTTACCTATTTTTAATTCAATTCTATAATTACAACCAAAAACTCGTATCACATCGGAAAATTACCAAAATGTCCACCTCTTCCTCTTCAATTTAGGCAGCTATTGACACCTCATCAAAAACCGTCACGATCTCGCCACGTGGCATCTTCTCCCCCGGCGTCTTCCTATAAATAACGTCCTCCATACCCACCTCGGGCTGCGAAGCCATCTCCCTCTCGTTCTCCGTCTCAATCTTTTCCTTGGCCTCGTTTTGTATTGTATTCCACAGAAAACGGGGATATGGATAGCGATACACTCACCGGATTGTTGAAGAAGGTCGCCGGAAAATTTCCCGACCAGCGAGCGCTTTCGGTCTCCGGGAAGTTCGATCTAACTCACGCTCGGCTCCAGGAGCTGATCGAACGCGCCGCCTCACGCCTCGTCTCCGGCGCCGGCATCGTGCCCGGCGATGTGGTCGCTCTCACCTTCCCTAACGCTGTCGAGGTATTGGTTTTTCTTTTTCTGGTACGGCGGCGCCATTGAACGCGGCGTACACGGCGGAGGAATTCGAGTTCTACCTGTCGGATTCAGGGTCAAAGCTCTTAATTACCTCTCACGAAGGCAACGCCGCGGCTCAAGCGGCGGCTTCCAAGCTCAGCATCCCTCACGCCACTGCAGCGCTCTCCGCTGCCGACTCCGACCTATCCCTCTCCGTTGCCAACTCTGACTCGGTTGTTGACTCGGTGGCCGAACTCGTTAACGATCCGAACGATGTCTCACTCTTCCTCCACACCTCTGGTACCACGAGCCGTCCCAAGGGCGTGCCGCTGACGCAGCTGAACCTGGTCTCGTCGGTCCGGAACATCAGATCGGTTTACAAACTCTCTGAGTCTGACTCGACGGTGATCGTTCTCCCGCTGTTCCATGTTCACGGTTTGTTGGCCGGACTGCTAAGCTCACTCGGAGCCGGTGGGGCGGTGACTCTTCCGGCCGCCGGTAGATTCTCTGCCTCCACGTTTTGGGGAGACATGAAAAAGTATAACGCAACATGGTACACTGCTGTTCCTACGATTCATCAGATCATATTGGATCGCCACTCGAGCACCCCTGAATCATACTACCCGAAACTCCGATTCATCAGGAGCTGTAGTGCTTCTTTGGCTCCGGTAATACTTTTGATTCCATCACATCTGCAGATATTTAAACCACCAATGCATGTTAATACTGTTGGAGTTCTTGGTTGTCCTGATTAAATTTCTGGTTTTTGTTTCAACTCCATGATTTGATTTCCCAACAGGTGATCCTGTCTCGGCTAGAGGAAGCTTTTGGAGCCCCGGTCCTCGAGGCCTACGCAATGACAGAGGCGACACACCTGATGTGTTCGAACCCATTGCCGGAGGACGGCCCACACAAGCCAGGATCAGTTGGGAAACCCGTGGGTCAAGAAATGGCGATTCTGAACGAGAAAGGGGAGACACAAGAGCCGAATAACAACGGGGAGGTCTGTATCAGAGGGCCGAACGTGACGAAGGGATACAAGAACAACCCAGAGGCCAACAAGACGGCTTTCGAGTTCGGGTGGTTCCACACGGGGGATCTCGGTTTCTTGGACTCTGACGGTTATTTGCATCTCGTCGGTCGGATCAAGGAGCTCATTAACCGCGGAGGTCAGACACTCTTTTCCTTTCTAACATCAAGTGTCTACATTTATACATGTGTTGATGGATCTGAGTTGTGGAATCAGGTGAGAAGATATCACCCATCGAAGTAGACGCAGTACTCATATCGCATCCAGACGTTGCCCAAGCCGTTGCGTTTGGGGTTCCTGATGACAAATACGGCGAAGAGGTAACAACGAAAACAAAACAAACTCTCGTCCTGCCATATATATTTTTGTTTGCTTACTAATCTATGTGTTTTGTATTTTGACAGATAAACTCGGCGGTGATTCCAAGAGAGGGATCGAACCTGACGGAAGAGGATGTCAGGGCATTCTGCAAGAAGAACTTGGCGGCATTCAAGGTTCCAAAGAAAGTGTTCATCACCGATAACCTCCCCAAGACTGCCACCGGCAAAATCCAGCGCCGCATAGTGGCACAGCACTTCCTCAACCAAACCCCTTCCTCCTAAAAGAATAATAATGGTAATAAAAACAAATCCATGTCTTTTTTGTCTATGCTTCATAATCTTAATAAATAGAGGGTGGGAATAAAGTTCCGTCTTCTACAATTTATTTAGAGAGATGACGGAGTTCTGTTTTTTGGTTGAAGGGGAGGGGAAGTAATATTTGGTATATGCGTCTTCAAAATCAGAAACCCATCATTTCTGGCTTATCTTAAAAGTTCCTAAAGAAACAGTTGCCTTTTTTCTTTGAACTAAAAAAACCGGTGGCTATTTCGGATGTTCTTTGACTTCAGGGTATGACAGTGGACCACCATGGTAACGTTCCCCCTGATCTTTGAATAAATAAAAAAAAATGAACCCTAAAGGACGAAATGTTGCAATTCTCAAAAGACAAACGCATGAGTAATTTTGGGACTAGAAAACCGAAGACAGGGAAAACAGCATATAACGTTTGCCACAAAGGCTTTTGCAAAATATCACAACCCACACAACAGAAACAGAAATTCAACCAAAGACCAAAGACCAATCTCCTACACTCTAAAAAAAGGACCTACAGCTCCACCCACAAAACAAGACACAGAAACCGGAAAACACGGAGACCCCAACCGGGGTTTCTAGCTACGCACACTACTTCAACTCTCAAGCCAAGAAGACACGATTAGCAGAAGCTACAATATCTTTTTTGAAGGCAAACCAGGAAAAAAAAAAGAAGACCAAATCCAAACTTTGATTCTCATTATTGCCCGTCCTGGACTGCTCCTTCTTCTTCTTCATCTTCATACTCGTAACCTTCCTCATCGTCGGCCGTGGCATCCTGGTACTGCTGATACTCAGAAACCAGATCGTTCATGTTGCTCTCTGCTTCCGTGAACTCCATCTCATCCATTCCTTCTCCCGTGTACCAGTGCAAGAACGCCTTCCTCCTGAACATAGCCGTGAACTGCTCGCTCACCCTCCTGAACATCTCCTGTATCGAGGTTGAGTTCCCTATGAACGTCGATGCCATTTTCAGACCCGTCGGCGGGATGTCACACACCGTCGATTTCACGTTGTTTGGGATCCATTCCACAAAGTAGGACGAGTTCTTGTTCTGCACGTTGATCATCTGCTCATCCACTTCTTTGGTGCTCATCTTGCCTCTGAACATGGCTGAGGCCGTGAGGTACCTGCCATGGCGAGGGTCGGCTGCACACATCATGTTCTTCGCATCCCACATCTGCTGGGTCAGCTCGGGGACTGTGAGGGCTCGGTATTGCTGGGACCCACGAGATGTGAGAGGCGCAAACCCGACCATGAAGAAATGTAGACGAGGGAAGGGGATCAGGTTGACGGCAAGCTTCCTCAGGTCGGAGTTAAGCTGACCAGGGAACCGAAGGCAGCAAGTGACGCCACTCATGGTGGCAGAGATCAGGTGATTCAAGTCTCCAACTGTAACCGAATATCAAACGAACAATTTCAGTTCAGGCGAAGCAGATCTGAATTGGCAATGGATTAGCTTGAACCATAATATCTCAGATCATGCAAACCATTTGATTAATACTTCTTATGTTAGAACGATGAATGGTGCACATATCGCTGAAAATCTCAAAGAACTGAAGAAGAAAGGAAACTTACAGCTTGGAGTGGTGAGCTTCAGAGTTCTGAAGCAAATATCATAGAGAGCCTCATTATCGAGGACCATACACTCGTCGGCATTCTCTACAAGCTGATGGACAGAGAGTGTAGCATTGTATGGCTCAACAACAGTGTCGGACACTTTCGGTGAGGGGAACACAGAAAAAGTCAGCATCATCCGGTCTGGGTACTCTTCCCTTATCTTCGAAATGAGCAATGTACCCATCCCCGACCCCGTCCCTCCACCCAACGAGTGGCACACTTGGAATCCTGGAGATGTCACACAAACATATCATCTGAATATCCGAAACACGTCTGATCTTACATTGCATAAAACAAGTCCTGGTAGGGTAACGACAAGTATTATTCCACAGAAATAAATTTCTTCCTCGTTTCCCAAATCAAATCGATGCATATTAATGTTTTGAGTAATCTGTCATTCTATATATATTTTTGTTTGCTTACTAATCTATGTGTTTTGTATTTTGACAGATAAACTCGGCGGTGATTCCAAGAGAGGGATCGAACCTGACGGAAGAGGATGTCAGGGCATTCTGCAAGAAGAACTTGGCGGCATTCAAGGTTCCAAAGAAAGTGTTCATCACCGATAACCTCCCCAAGACTGCCACCGGCAAAATCCAGCGCCGCATAGTGGCACAGCACTTCCTCAACCAAACCCCTTCCTCCTAAAAGAATAATAATGGTAATAAAAACAAATCCATGTCTTTTTTGTCTATGCTTCATAATCTTAATAAATAGAGGGTGGGAATAAAGTTCCGTCTTCTACAATTTATTTAGAGAGATGACGGAGTTCTGTTTTTGGGTTGAAGGGGAGGGGAAGTAATATTTGGTATATGCGTCTTCAAAATCAGAAACCCATCATTTCTGGCTTATCTTAAAAGTTCCTAAAGAAACAGTAGCCTTTTTTCTTTGAACTAAAAAAACCGGTGGCTATTTCGGATGTTCTTTGACTTCAGGGTATGACAGTGGACCACCATGGTAACGTTCCCCCTGATCTTTGAATAAATAAAAAAAATGAACCCTAAAGGACGAAATGTTGCAATTCTCAAAAGACAAACGCATGAGTAATTTTGGGACTAGAAAACCGAAGACAGAAATTCAACCACACAACAGAAACAGAAATTCAACCAAAGACCAAAGACCAATCTCCTACACTCTAAAAAAAGGACCTACAGCTCCACCCACAAAACAAGACAAAAAAAAAAAAAAAAAAAGAAGCCAGAAACCGGAAAACACGGAGACCCCAACCGGGGTTTCTGGCTACGCACACTACTACAACTCTCAAGCCAAGAAGACACGATTAGCAGAAGCTACAATATCTTTTTTGAAGGCAAACCAGGAAAAAAAAAAAGAAGACCAAATCCAAACTTTGATTCTCATTATTGCTCGTCCTGGACTGCTCCTTCTTCTTCATCTTCATACTCGTAACCTTCCTCATCGTCGGCCGTGGCATCCTGGTACTGCTGATACTCAGAAACCAATGCATTTCTGACAGTAATGAATGAATGAATGGATTGTCTATGACTCAATAATAATTATATATTAAAGCATTTTCTCTGCGGCAATTTGAAAACATTTTTTTCCTCAGATCCATTTAGAAAACGTAAGTGGCCTTACTATAATATGTTTCATTTTTCCCTTTAAACCTACGAAATATTGAGATTCCACACACACACAATATATATATATATATATATATATATATATATATAATATTAAATAAAAAAATGGACTATGAACCTGAGAAAATAGCCACTCGTCTTATTATCGCTATACGAAATGGGGAGAGATCTCACGCGCTTTTGTAGCGCGTGTACGATGCGTGGACAAAACTCGGAAAAGGCTGCGAGATCTGCATCATCAGTCTCTTTTTCCTTTTAATTGAGTCGTGCGCATCAAGGGAGAATAACAGTCACGTGACACCAGCGTTAAATCACGTGACTCTAATCTCATCTAATTCTAATCATAGCCGTGGTTAAATCATTCGATAACACATACATAATTCACGAGCCATACACACACATGTATATATGAACGTATATATAATATAGATACACGATATGCATACATATATATATATATGACATGCGTATTTTTTGTGTTGGGAAATTGGATGACGCGTGTTATATATGTTGCTTAGAATGAAGAAGACGTAGGTGTGACTAGTGACGTGCAAATCACTCTACATACATGTAATATAGATTGTGAACCAAAACATTTTTTTTTGTAATAAATTAAGAAAAAGAAAAACAGTAGTGTGAAATTGGGACCCATTAGACGTGAAAATTCTTACAAAGAGCGAATAAACTTTATATGATTTTGGACTCAACGTGAAGCAACGTATCGATCTCACTGGTCATGATGTTCAACCAACCTGCCACCATGTTACATCAACAGTCCCATAACCAAATAACATATACATACAGAAAATTGTGTACGTAATACATCAAATTTCTAACCAAAATAAAAAATAAAATATTCGTGGGACATTGGTTATAATATATATATATATAAATATATATATCAATCTAACAAAATTGAAGATATAAAGCAACAGCTATCAATTCCCAGTTTGGTTCTTCTTGTGCATGAGCCAGTACCTCCTCTCCCATGCATGGATCCTGGCAAAAGTGGTATCTTTCTTCTTGATAAGAGAGTAAAACGACGCCGGATCATACGGCGGAGGCATCAGGCATGGCCCTGTCTCGGAAGGCCTCTTCACGAGCGACTCCCTCATGAACTTGCGCTCGTTTCCGTCCCTCGGGCAAGCCATAGACTCGGAGCAAACCTCGACCGCCTGCCGAGGGACCTCGGGTTTGAACCGGAGGAGTTTCGAGTATTCGGTTAACAGATGGTACATGTAATCGTACACATACTCCATCTTGAGTTGTTGCATGATGAACTCGCTCCCCTTCTTCCCCATCTCCTCTGCCTGCCAATAAACACGGTGTCATTTCATATCATATGTTTTGCAATCATGTAACATGTTCATCATCCATGTAGATAGATGCATGCCTTTCGGGCGTGGGAGTTGGCCCAGTCGACGGCGAACTTGATGGACCGACACTTGTCGTCGTCCTTGATGGGCCAGAAATGCTGAGCAGGAAGCAGACCTCGAGTGAAGAAATCGTAGTCTGTATGTGAAGGATCTCACGCATTTTCGATAACTCTCTGAATCGGCAACCGAGTTCAAGTGAGAGAAAGAGAGAGTGATGCTGCTGGAGAGAGAAACCGACGAGTCACAGAGATTTTTCGAACGGTTGCGACGAGATGAGGAAGACGAAATGGATGCTCTTATAGCGCGGAGATGACGGAGAAAGGGGTTTTCGCCGGTAGAATGATTTTCCGGTTCGAAACTGAACCGGTTCGATATCCTTAACCACTCCAATGATTTGATTAGTTGCCTCTAAACATGACTCTCGAGTTGTATGTCCAAAGTTCAAGCCATTGATCAATTGGCATAACAGTTAATTTTTTATATCATAATAATATATTACACAAATTGCCATGCAAAATAAGCGGAAAATTGAAATTATAAAGAATAAAAAATTATTTATCCGCCCAATTGAACCAAACCGGTCCAAAACCAAACAAACCAAGAAAGAGAAAACCGGTGTCGGTATGTTTCCATAGTGGGGTCTGTCAGATTTGGTGGAGATAAGAACCCTAAATATCCGAATATCCAAAACCCAAATCAATTTAACAATTAGCGAATTTAAAGTGCCAAAAAATCCAAAGGAAAACAACAATTTTAGCGGATGCACAAAAAGAAAAAAAAAATACACGCAATAATTTAACAATTTGAAGATATACATAATCTAAAAGAGTTCTGAAAAAAATGCAGAATCGGAAATAAACAATAAAAAGATAATTCAAAAAAATAAAAACCTGTAAAAAAATTAAATCCGAATTCATGAGATCTAGGGGTTGAATGGATGGGTTTTAGGAGTTCTGTGCCTAAAAAATATTATATAACATTTGGATTATTCAATTATAACTAAAAAAAATCAGATTTCACTTGCAATATAAAATTTATATTTTTAAAATAAACCATCATTCCGTTTTATAAGACTCGGCAATGCATTTCTGACAGTAATGAATGAATGAATGGATTGTCTATGACTCAATAATAATTATATATTAAAGCATTTTCTCTGCGGCAATTTGAAAACATTTTTTTCCTCAGATCCATTTAGAAAACGTAAGTGGCCTTACTATAATATGTTTCATTTTTCCCTTTAAACCTACGAAATATTGAGATTCCACACACACACAATATATATATATATATATATATATATATATATATAATATTAAATAAAAAAATGGACTATGAACCTGAGAAAATAGCCACTCGTCTTATTATCGCTATACGAAATGGGGAGAGATCTCACGCGCTTTTGTAGCGCGTGTACGATGCGTGGACAAAACTCGGAAAAGGCTGCGAGATCTGCATCATCAGTCTCTTTTTCCTTTTAATTGAGTCGTGCGCATCAAGGGAGAATAACAGTCACGTGACACCAGCGTTAAATCACGTGACTCTAATCTCATCTAATTCTAATCATAGCCGTGGTTAAATCATTCGATAACACATACATAATTCACGAGCCATACACACACATGTATATATGAACGTATATATAATATAGATACACGATATGCATACATATATATATATATGACATGCGTATTTTTTGTGTTGGGAAATTGGATGACGCGTGTTATATATGTTGCTTAGAATGAAGAAGACGTAGGTGTGACTAGTGACGTGCAAATCACTCTACATACATGTAATATAGATTGTGAACCAAAACATTTTTTTTTGTAATAAATTAAGAAAAAGAAAAACAGTAGTGTGAAATTGGGACCCATTAGACGTGAAAATTCTTACAAAGAGCGAATAAACTTTATATGATTTTGGACTCAACGTGAAGCAACGTATCGATCTCACTGGTCATGATGTTCAACCAACCTGCCACCATGTTACATCAACAGTCCCATAACCAAATAACATATACATACAGAAAATTGTGTACGTAATACATCAAATTTCTAACCAAAATAAAAAATAAAATATTCGTGGGACATTGGTTATAATATATATATATATAAATATATATATCAATCTAACAAAATTGAAGATATAAAGCAACAGCTATCAATTCCCAGTTTGGTTCTTCTTGTGCATGAGCCAGTACCTCCTCTCCCATGCATGGATCCTGGCAAAAGTGGTATCTTTCTTCTTGATAAGAGAGTAAAACGACGCCGGATCATACGGCGGAGGCATCAGGCATGGCCCTGTCTCGGAAGGCCTCTTCACGAGCGACTCCCTCATGAACTTGCGCTCGTTTCCGTCCCTCGGGCAAGCCATAGACTCGGAGCAACCCTCGCCCGCCTGCCGAGGGACCTCGGGTTTGAACCGGAGGAGTTTCGAGTATTCGGTTAACAGATGGTACATGTAATCGTACACATACTCCATCTTGAGTTGTTGCATGATGAACTCGCTCCCCTTCTTCCCCATCTCCTCTGCCTGCCAATAAACACGGTGTCATTTCATATCATATGTTTTGCAATCATGTAACATGTTCATCATCCATGTAGATAGATGCATGCCTTTCGGGCGTGGGAGTTGGCCCAGTCGACGGCGAACTTGATGGACCGACACTTGTCGTCGTCCTTGATGGGCCAGAAATGCTGAGCAGGAAGCAGACCTCGAGTGAAGAAATCGTAGTAACGGGGTTTCACCAGCAATGTGACCGAGTCACAAGCCAATATATACTTCTCGCTAACCGACCAGGCCGAGCCCTCTATGTATATCTTGTACCTGCACATGACATTAAGATTGTAACAAAACATAAGCATTGTTCATAACTTGAAACTACGTATATATTATTACCTATGAACACATTGGCTGGCCAAATCTGATTGCTTGTAGCCTTCCTTCGACTCCCGCGCCCAGTCCTACATTATACATTACGAGATTACGCGTAAGGGACTTCATCCTTATTTCGAGAGAAATTTATCTTCGATATTTCAATATGGTATCAGAGCGGAACTGAGATCAAATTTATTCGTAACCGGTGACATATTCTAATAATAATTCCATAATAGATAACTCTAACTCTCTATAGAGATTACCTGGGAGTACAAATAACTCTAACTCTCTATAGAGATTACCTGGGAGTACAAACGAGCGTTCCAATCATGCTCTTCGGAGACGTTGCATTTCATAAGATCTTGGCGCGTCTCTGCAACGGTTGGATTGCCTTTCCAGTACGCGTAAGGTTCCCTTTCTAACCATTTCGTCTTCCGGTTTGCGTCTCCCAGTTCCCTCAACACTCCCTCCCATGGCTTTATGTTAACCTCCGCCCTGCAAATATCACGCTTCAACATTTATATTCTCCTCCCTTTTAGACGAATATGCATACACCACATCTGCGTATACACTATATGATTCTACGAACAATCATACTTGCTATCAATATCGGTATGCCATCAAGTTACAATACACCTTTCTGCAATAAACATGGTCCAAATTCTTCATCTAAAGCCACAAATGTTGTGAAAGAAACAGAGTCCGAACATTCATAATTTCATACAATTATCAAGGGTTCTATTGACGCTTTCATAACTATAAGTCCCAATTGACAAAATCGAAAACTTACGGGCACTAGAGCAAAAAACAAAAACTTACCATCCCCAGAAGGACCAGTCGGGGAACACGATATCCAGCGTCTCGTCGTTTCCGCAGTAACGGAACAGAGGCGGCGGTTCGGCTCCGGCGAATTCCGCCGCCTTGATGACAGGCCAGTCAACGCAGTCAAACATGAGTTCGAGATCCGGAATCTTCCCGGGGTATCTCCGGACAAGCTGGAGGAATCCCCAGATCGTGAACACATCTCTCGTCTGAAAAGCCTCGTTGAACTTCTCCACGTAAACCCTCCCGCCGACTATGACCAGCCGGAAGTTCGCCGTCTTTTTGGCGCGCTCCACCGCGTCCCTAGTGATTCCAGTCCTTGCCCATGGTCGGAGATCCTCGTGGATCCACCGGAAGTACTCCGGACAGGCGGCGGAAGGAGAATCTCCGGCGAGAGTTGCCGTCGGGTAGTTGTCCCTCGGGCAGGTTGAGTTGTCGGAGAGTGAAGTGCAGGTGAGTGGGAACTCCGGTGGCTTTTCCGTAATTACGGTGTTCTCGCGGGGGTCTTTTCGGGATGACGCGTCAGCAGGAGCCGCCGTCGCTTTCGTCGTTGATACGGCTTCTCTTTCTACAAGAACCTGTTGTTAGAAAACGGCGTCGTTCGGTTTAGCGGTGGACAGCTAAAAATTGACTAAGGGTTAGAAAAGTCATGGAATGGGTCCCACAACAGCCACGTGTCGGCTCTACAACATTTGTCTGATAAAAAAGGTACGGCGTACCGACAAATCCGCCACACGTTAGGCAACCACAAGAATCTACATGCAATAGGAAGATCCCACGTGGCAATAAGAAAATTCAAACTCACAAGTACGAAGGGGTGAAAAAAGCCAAAACGCTAAGTGGAGCGTCGTTTTTGTCAACACAGGAATCTAATACAAAAATTAGTTCCCTTTTTTTTCACCATTGCAGAGAATCTATATAGCAAGCTTGAATCTGATTAAGGTTTTAGTTTCTAATTGTGGAAAACTGAATTCACATAAAGAATATGAAATGAAAAAACTGGTAGAGGAGAAAGGGCGGAAGCATACGGAGGGGTCGAGGAGGAGGCGAGAGGAGAAGAAGGCGCCGAGGAGGAGGAGGATGAGGAAGGAGAAGATGGCGTATGACTTGTTAGGAGATCCTCCTGTCTTGACCAGCGGTGCCAATATCGTTTCCTGCAAATTACGACCCTGCCCTCCTCCCCCATTGTTGCCCGCGCTCCTGCTCGCTTGCATTCCCAAACGCCCAATCGCAATCAAGAACCGACAACACTCCCACAAGAACCAAGAATCAAGAAGACAGAGTACGAAGAATCAAGAACCAGGAAGAAAGAAGGATCAAGAATCTCGCAGAAATATGTTTCAGCAAATATAAACGATTATGGGGGGGAGAGAGAGAGAGAGAGAGAGAGAGAGAGAGAGAGAGAGGTTGGGGGAGGGGAGGGGAGGGGAAGAGATCTTGTGAGAGGAGAGGTGGAAACTAAAGAGAGAGGGGTGCACGTTGTCGAGTGATCAGACCTCTCTACAATTAAAAAATTTTAGCTCCGTAAATACATTTATTTATTTTTTCGAAATATCCTAAATCATGAAAAAACTCGTAACTAGGATTATTACCCATCATTTCTTCCTTGATTTTTCTATTTTACATGTCCGGTCCATGATATCATTTACAAAAATAACCTTCAGAAAATATTCAAAGAGGGCGTCGATTACTAAGCACGTTCATTTGAGGATATTTTTTTTTTCATTTCAAGTTCTTCAGTTAATTTCAATTTATTTCTAGCTAATTCCCATTACAAAAGGGTAAGGAAAACCACCGTTTCTTTGATGAGACCATGACTATATGACGCAATCTCAACAGATTCCACGTGACGTTTTTGTTTTATATACCAACTTCTTCGCGATATTATACATATATATATATATATATATATATATATATAAATGCTTGTTACACATTTCAAAATGACTATGGCTCTCGACTTTGATTACTCGGTGGTATTTTGATTGCCGTCAAAAAGCTAGTGGGGGGGATATACAGAGTCTAAAAACTTCGATTAGTTTCGGTTAAGGATTCAATTACCAATAAATAAAACATCTTATTACAACTTTTCATATTGTCCCTCCATTTTTAATGGAGTAGAAGATCATAACATGGATTATGATGGAATATATACGTAGAGCTTTGTAATAATATCTCTCCAAATCTATAAACCGCCAATCAATAATTAATAACATATATTATGACATTTTATTTTGAACAAAATCGAAACACATTGTAGTTACCAAGGCACGTTATGGACATTGGACACATGGGCTTGTGGCATTGGACCCACTTATGTGACCTCATGTCGGCAAAACTCTTATATTATATAGATGTTGTATAACGACATGATGTAATTAGAGGCACATTAAAAAAAATACATTAATATTTTATTCGCCAACCACATAGATTAATTAGTTATATTGGTACTTTAAATATGTTATTGTTGAAGTAGTTAATAATATATACTTGGAGAATATAAAATAGTTTCTGTGGCGCATGATGTAATCTTCGATCCAATTATAATTATTAATTACCCATCATTATAAGACGTTGAAGATTAAAGCGTGCGTTTTGATAAAGACTCTGTTCGATCTCAAAGGTTCCCGCTTTAATTTGGTTTTTACATTTACGTCTTACGAAATCTATTTTTTCACAACTTTCAAAACCAAGTTCTCTAGCACTAACCATTACCCGGTTATCTCCGGTACAAAACAAAAGTGGAAGTTTGAGATGGAAAATCAGAAGATAACCGCTCGAGGATTTCGGTCAAAGGAGACGAAAGTGTATGTAGAGTTTTCTCTAAAGAAAAGCAAACCGGATCGAATTTATACAAAATTGACAAATATTCGAATTCTTATAATTTCATTTCAGATTAAAATAAATAACCTCTTCGAAGAGGACAACAACAGGAAACACAAGTCAGGGTTCTAAACATAACACTTCTTCAACTCAACACTCTCGATCGGAATCTTGTCCGCCGGGAAATCACAGTCCATCGGAGACCCTTTTTCCGGCAGCAAACTGCACACCGGCGGCTCGACCCTGTTGCTGACTCCGGCCACGTCCGTACAGTTCCACTGCAGGTCCTTGGCTTTAGGCGCCAACGTCATCTTCACGTTCGATATACATATCCCCGTGAACGGATCCTTCTCGATCCCGTCGAGCCTCGCCGCCATCGTTACGTTCTCGGCCGTCATGTCCCGGTAATTGATGTTCGTCACGACGGGCAATGCTTTGGGGTCGAATTTGTCGTCCGGGTGCTGATTATACGCGCCGCTCATCCAGAAGACGTATTTCATCGTCTTCATGGTGATCTTGCGCGCGAATATGTCCTTCACATAGCCTCCGCGTCCGACCGCGGTCTTGATCCGGATGGCGGATTGCGTATTGATCATCGTCGAGTCCTCGATCCGGACGTCTTTGATTCCTCCGGACATCTCGCTCCCTAGTGCGACCCCCGCGCTGTCGGGTGAGATGCACGTGAGCCTTCGGATCGAGAGTTGCTGTGTCGGGATACCGACTTGGATGCCGTATTGGTCCCAGCCGCTCTTCACGGCGATGCAGTCGTCGCCCGATACAACATAGCAATCTTCGATCAGAGTGTTTTTGCAAGAATCTGATGTAAAATCCGAACGAAACGTAAGATTTAGTCGATAATAATAGTCGATAATAACATTATAGATGAAAACATATTAGATATACGAAAAAAATAAGAGTATACGGAATCATATATAAAGATTTCGGATATCATAATTCGATACTCGTACTCAATATTCCAATATCTATAAACACGTACCGGGGTCAATTCCGTCGGTGTTAGGAGAATCGATCGGAGCGAGAATGGTGAGGCCTTTGACGATAACGTTGTTGCAGTACACGGGATGAACGTTCCATGACGGAGAATCGATCAACGTAATGTCCGAAATCTGAACGTTGTCGGAGAATAAGATCTCGATCAAGTACGGTCTAGTGATCGATTTGTATTCTCCGTTACGAAACTTGACCCACCACGACTTGCCCTGCCCATCGATCGTTCCGTTGTTACCTGGTCAACGAGCCGACGAAGATCTTCCGTTAATCCGGTTTGTTTAGGTATAACCAATCCGGTATTGTAACCTAAACCGGCTGGTTAGGATAAAAACTGTAACCGGGGAATTTATGTGGTATGGTTTAGAGTGTACCGGTGATAACCACGTCGGTTAGATTTGTGCCGTAGATTAAACTGCTGAATCTTGGTCCGGGTGCGTCTCTTCCTCTTCCGTACGACGGCAAAGGTGCAACCACTGGCCACTCGGATTCATCCTGTTTTGTCCGAATTCAACCAAATATCATAAACCGGTTTGTTTTCTTATTCGTGTTATTTATCTTTAAATTAACAATATAATTAATTAATTTTTTTCAATATGACCCAAAAACATTTAATACATTATGGACATTTCAATCTCATGATATATTGCTTCAATGCCAAACAAAGTCCTTTGGTCTAAGCCGGTTTAAATGCCGGTTATATTCACTTTACCATTTTCTCTAAGATCTTCACCATACCACTATATAGATTCAATGAAATATAATGGATTATTAGATTTCATTATGGTCGTAGTAATTATATACATATATTCGTATATATATACCTGAGAAGCGAGAATCGTAGCACCTTTTTGGATGAACAAAGTGAAATGACTCGTGAGATTGAAACTTCCGGTGAGCCATTTTCCCGGCGGGATGACGAGTTGGGCTCCGCCGTCGGCCGCAGACTGGCCGAGTTTGGTTATAGCCTCTCTGAACGCCTTTGTGTTCGAAGTTTTCCCATCTCCGACCGCCCCAAAGTCCGTAATCACGGCCGTATGTTTCCGGCAGTTCAACGCTGAATATTCTATCCCCGCCGCCGCGCTCGGCTGGCGGGATTCCGTCGCCGGAAAACCACTTACAGCCAAAACCACCACTAGTGCACCAAATAGTTTTGGCCTAATCATCTGTAAACACGTCCGAGAAATATGTAGTTAGTTATGTGTCATGGCGAATTTTTTTTAAGGAAAAATACGTGAAAGATGGTTCAAACAATTTTTTTCCCCTAAATCAAAAAACGACAAAACTATATCCATGCATAATTTTGATAAATTCTATCAAAATCCATAACTTTTTTTAATCCATTGAAATTGAAACTAGAAAAATATTTGTTGTTCTGATTAAAAAAAATGAAAAAAGAAAGTGTAATATTTTGTTTTCGATTACCTTCAAATTTCTGGATCTGAGAGAGGACTCCATTAGCCAGAAGGAAGTCTATTTTCTGCTATGCTTTGGATTGCAATTTCCCACGAGCGAGTAATTTATAGATAAAAAAATACTAAATGATTAATTCACATGGATGAAAAATAAAGACTATCAAATTTTATCTTCCTAAAAAAGGTCTATTCCATTAATATTCAATCCTATAAAATAAAATAAGTTGCCAAAAAATTATAGCTAAAAGGGTTATGTTATATGTATACTTGTTCATTTTTTTACCAATTTTTTTTAATTCATTTCTTGAAACCATGTAAACTCAGGATTTTGAATATAAAGAATTTAAAATTTTCCTATTTATAAAAGAAATGATTCAAAGTATTAAGAAATATTCATGGTGATTGACCCGATCTTTGATGATCAATATTAGATTTGGCTTTATAGGATAATAATCATTGATTAGGGTAACTAATTAAAATAAAAACAAGAACCGTTTGTCCCTATACCATAATTTATTATTTTTTCGCGTGAATATACTTACAAACAGAAATTACCACCATTTTTTCAACGATTAAAACATCATAGGATCTGTCTATTTTGTTTAAGTAGCCGATGCAATGCAGCACCAATGGAAATTTTCATGCTATCAAATCCAGCCTTTGAGCCATTAATGGGTTTAGATCTTATCATATAATATATTTCACAAAAAAAATATCTATACACTCTTAAGTATATAATCTTAAAATAAATGTCTCAATCCTTTTTTAATTAATGATATCCATGCATATAACATCCCCAAATCTTGCCAAGATATTCAATAATTTAAAGTAATATAGATAAATAAAGTAAACTATCTCAAACCTTTGTAAGAAGACATAATAAAATTAATTCGAAAATCCAAATACAAAAGTTTTAAAACCAATAGAACAATAAGATCTAATAGAATCCAAAAAAAAACAATAAATCTTAAAAATCCTAAACGATATCTAATTTTACAATTATAATTGTATACTGATGATGGGACAAACTACGAGAAAATGGATGTATACTATTTAAAAGATGCCGAATGTTCAATTGTAAATTAAAAATTTGTACCACAGAAAATCATGAAATTTATACATTATGAATTAATTATAACCATGCCGGGAATCGGCCAAAAGGGAAAAAAGATAAAGCAGTGCAACATTTATATATTAAAATCATATTAAATTTTCATTGTCATGTAGGTCAACGTGTACGTTATATGCAAGCAGACCAAATATTTGCATGTATTGTCCCTCAGCTATTTTTTTTCCGTTTGTAATAAATATTACAGATGAAATAAAATAAAAAAATTTATCAATTTCAGAAATGGAACATATTTGGGCTGAAGTAAAAATATGTTGAGTGACTTTATGTTATCGCCAAACCGCGATTTCGTCGGTAATAAGGAAAATGAACAAAGACTAATCTGATTATCAAATATAAATTCATTAAGCATAGAGATTTTCTTCTGTGCAGTTGAATTTTAGAAAAGTAAATATTTTTAAATAAAATTTTAATTTTTGTACTATTTTCGCCAATTTTCCCGTGCAAGTGTATAGACATGCAGCTCGCCACATCCTTAAAACTACATATTGTCGGTTGCCCCACACGTGGTCATATAATAATAAAAACACTATCAGTCTATCACCCTGTGGTAACTCGGTCCAAAAATAATCGAACCCACAACTCTTAAACCAGACTCTCAAAGACCCGAGATAGAACGAAAGTTAATATGATACTTTTTAAATAGGGGTGGGTATTTCGGTATTCGGTTTGATTTGATTTTTTTATTTGATAAAAATATATATCAATGAGTTATTATATCATATATTCGATTTAGTTTAGTTTCGGTTTGGTAAATTTCAGGTTTATTAAAAAATTAGATCTTTAAAAAAATTAGTTTTTTGGATTTTTTTTAAAAATTTGTTTCGATTCGGTTTCAAAAAATTCGGTTTTCTATATAAAAAAAAATATCGTTCATTAAAAAAATCGATGTTGAAGAACCATATCGAAATATTCACCCTATTTTCAAGTATTTTCATTTACACGTACGTAATTGAATAAAATCGTCTTCCTCCAAAGTATATTAACTAAGACCAAATAACCCCAAACTTTAGAATACCCACCACGCTCACCCCTAATTTATAATTGATATATTTATATATGTATATGAATTAATATTCCAGTCAATGTGTAAAAAACAATATCTCACAAATTAGAAGATCATTAATATCCGGATTCTCTATTTAATTTTGATTTAGGTTATGCCATAAACAATGAGTCACAACCTTAATATTGTAAATGCGTATATCTGTCCAAGAATCATTGTTTTTAAATGGGATTTATTTTTAAAATTTAAGTTTAATTTCTGCTGTCGACAGATAAGCATGGCTTATATGCAATAAGCGTAGAGCATAAACAATTTTGAGAAATAACATTAATGGAAATAAAGGGTTACTTGTTTTGTAAAATATTACGTAACGTGCCAATCACTTCAATATCTTCTGAAATATGATAAATGAACATACCAAATAATGAATATTAATTATTATTTTTAACTCCTAATCTTAATTAGTTTGCCTTGTTACTTTCCTTGATAAAAAGACCTCACCATTTATTTTATTTATTTATCCTAAACTCGTTGCAATTCGAAATCGCCGTCTTAAAATATTTTGACCAAGTGATTCATATTCGATACGATTCAGTTTTATCCGGTTTGTTCAGATATTTTTGGGTCGCACGTTCTTCGTTTACTTCTACAACTTTGCTAAACCGGTTTGGTTTAGCGAAAGTATCGGTCCCGATTTCCTAACCTTTCGGTATAAGCTCCGGTTTGATATGTGAACGTATAGTGTGTCGAACACCGAACAGACCAGCCGGTTCAATAATCCACAGTTTGAATTCTAAGAGTTGTGGATTTTCATTTTAATCCTAAACTTTAAGAAAAGTGTTAATTGGAACACCAACTCTCATTACGTACGGAATTTCCAAAATTAAAATCCAGTAATTTCATCAATTAATCTCTATCATAAATATTTAGTACTGTTTGTTCAAAGTGAAATTTATTTATTTTTTTAAATATTTTTTGTGTGACCTATCTGTTAGAGGTTTGGTATGCAGTTTACATCTACAAAAAGCTGAAAACAGTCCAAAAAATATCACGAATGAAAAGAATAAAACAACAGCCCAGAAAAAAGGGTTCGATTTCATAAATTATCAAAAGTAGAAGGACTTTTGTGAAAATATTTGGAAACCATAATTATCGCAGATGAAACCGATTATTAAATTGAATATCATAATCAAGAAGAAGATTAGAAAAATAAAAAATAGAAAAGGAAAAAGAGCGGAAGTCATTTTCTGCCAACAAGGAACAGAACATCACTACCAAACGATCCAGCTCAGGTTCCGTATCCACAGTTTACTCTCTCTCTCTCTCTCTCTCTCTCTCTCTCTCTCTCTCTCTCTCTCTTCTCTTAAATAATCGAATATCTGAATCATTCTTCCACCACTTCTCGCAAACCTTTCCTCGGCAATCAGCGTTTCGACATGGCCGAAGAAGAGCAGAAGAAGGTGACGGAGACTGGGGCCGGGTCGGATCCTGCGCCGGTACCGAAATCCGAACAGGAGAAGCCGGCGACTGTTGCTGCGGAGGAGAAACCTGTAGCTCCGCCGCCTCCTCCTCCTCCGGCGCCGGAGGCTAAGCCCGACGACTCCAAAACTATTGTTCCTGTCAAAAGTAGTAACTATTTTTTCTCTCATTAAGAAAAATAAGTTTTTATTTTTATTCTTAAATAATTTCGATAGTATTATTTTTATTAAGTGATTTGCAGAGGTTTAAAGGTTAGAATTCATGTTATAATTTTTATAATTATGATAAATTTCTATCATTTTTTATTAATCTAATTTTAATTTTATAACTGGTTAATTCATTTTTTGTTTGTCAATACAGAACATAGAAAAATCAATTTTTTTTGCTTATTGTTTAATTTTATCTTTTTTTTTTGGCAGACTAGTAATTTTTATGAAATTTGTGTGTTGCAGAACATGACGAGGAGAAGAAAGGAGGCTCTGTTGAGCGAGGTATCACATCATTTAACTTCATTGTTAATATTATAGCTAGAGAAATAAACCGAATTAAGAAACCCGCGGTAACTCGGATTACCGAAAATTTACGATATATTTTTAATTTAAATAATCTTACAAAAGGATGGAATCAATCAATTTTAAAGTTTCTAGTTATAATCCAAATTTAAAGTTTTATGGTTTACGTGTAATGATTTTTTTTTTTTTTTTGGGATTGATGACGCGAAGATGCTGTCCTGGCTAGAGTTGAGACGGAGAAGAGGATGTCACTTATCAAAGCTTGGGAAGAAGCCGAAAAATGCAAAGTGGAGAACAAGTCAGTTCTCTATTTATATTTATATATTTATTTATTTTTGTGGGAAAAAAAAAGAATTATATCATAACTCCCAATTTGCACAACTTTTGATTCCCATGTTGTCGGAACTTACTAAATTAGCCATATTAGTGATATACTTTGAAAGAGCGATTACATAATTTATTATTTATATGTGGTTACTAGTCAATGGCGGGGCTAGGTTTGTTAATTTTTGTTAATCAAAGTTAATCTTGATTTGCTAATTTAATGTGATTAATGTTGGTTGAGTCCAAAATGTATGATCCATACACCCTTTTCATAACATTGTCCTTTGATTATTTAATAAATAATTCTAGAGGGGTCTCTCTTGCAAATATCATATGCAGAGCTCATAGGAACCTTTCGGCAATCGGGGCATGGGAAAACAGCAAGAAAGCATCCGTGGAAGCTGAGCTCAAGAAGATTGAGGTACCAAAACTATGTATTATTTGTCATTTTATTTATTTTTTGTTAATCATGTTGGCAGAAAAGGGTTATTCTGTGACAAAATTCGTAACCGCGGGGTCTTTCTATGAATTTTAACAAGTTTAGGGGTCAAATCTGGATTTGTTTCCAAGAAGGAGTGGATAAGATTTCTTGTATCCCATGGGAACCATCTTTTAATTAGCGCAAACCTAAAGCGTCTATATGAGAAAAATAATTCAAGGAATTTTGCCATGCTGCCCTCAACATTAAGGTTTTACATTAACAGCCTAAATCTTTTGATCTTTCTGAATTTGGCCCCACTGTTTTGGATTGGAAACGACAATAGGAGCAATTAGAGAAGAAAAAGGCAGAGTACAGGGAGAAGATGAAGAACAGAATAGCTGAGATCCACAGGGAAGCAGAAGAGAGAAGAGCGATGATCGAAGCCAGACGCGGGGAAGAGGTTCTCAAGGCCGAGGAAATTGCCGCGAAGTATCGTGCCACGGGAACGGCCCCGAAGAAGCTTTTGGGATGCTTCTAATTATCATCACTTCACCTTGGTAGGAAAAAAAGAAGAAGAAGCTTTTCGGAAACTTGCTAATGTTCAATCGTTTTTCTTTTGATTTGTTGCAGAATCGGAAAAGAAAGGTGTTTAATAATTTGTGGGCTTAGTTTGGTTTCATGTGGGTTGTGTTTGATCGTTTAGGAAATTATATGGTCATTACGAAATGTTTTGTTTTGTTTGGGGCTTCTTTTTTTTATTCGGATTTCTATAGCTTCTCTTTTCGAATCATTGGTGTGAAAAATTCCTTTTTTTTTTTGAAAGGTTGGTGTTTCATTTATTTTAAAATCGTACATAATGCTTTCCCTTCTCATACGAGCAAATATATTTGTATTTGCATGATATATGTTATAGACAACTATTAAGCGAAACAGTACTAATTTCAAGAAATTACATATATATATATATATATATATATATATATTAAAGGTAAAATGGTAAATTTGAGAAATGATAAAAAAAAATTATAAAATTTCCGCTCGCGAGTTCGTTGACTCACGAGTTGACTCATTCGCTCTCGGTTGACTAGGGATGTCAATTTGGGCCCGAGGTCTAAAGTCCGGTCCAGCCCAATCTGAAAAATAGCAGATTTCGGGGCGAAGTTTCTTAGTCCGAAAAAATCGAGCTTTTGGATCGGACTCAAATTGGGTTTTGGAGTCGAGCCGGACCGACCCGAAAGGCCGATTTTTTTTTTTTAAAAAAAAGAAAAAAAATAACATTTACAAAGGGAGATCCGCGGGCCGGCCCGATCCAGCCCGAGCTAACCTGAGCCCGGAATACATAGGGCCGAGCTTTGGACTTAATTATATAGATCCGAAAAAATCCGACCGGTTCAAACCCAAACCCAAAACTTCTAGGCCGAGTGCGGACTCGGGCCGGACCGCCTCACACCCCTACGTTTGACATCCATATTTGCGAGGAATTAAAAATAAAGGGTACTTGACTGTATCATTTATTGTGAAATCATTTTGTTCCCATATATACATATTATCATTGCACGTCTACACACTCTCTATTCTTTCGAAATTAATCCCAAACTTATTCCTTCCGAAGCTTTTGTCCTAATTCACCTCATTTCCATCACGTCACGTGTTACTGCATACGAGACTCATGAATATAAATATTGTCCGAAAACGAGTTACAAAACTCATTTGAAGTTGTCTCGTCATTCGGCCAGAACCGTGAATCTGGCACGATGTTGTCAATAGAGCCGATAGCGGCGGAGTAACTGTTGTCAAATGTTTCGTCGAGTAAACAATCTTGTAGGATGAAATCTTGAATATTAGATTCTCGGGTCGGTCCATTCGTTGCGAAGTCGGGCGAGAACCATTCCGCAAACATAAGTCTCGGCAGATAGGTCGTCGATATTTGGTGCGGACTAACGATATTATGTTCTCTAGGGTCGCTCGGTGACGATCCTCCAACGGTATTTTGCGGCGAAGTTTGAGTCGTCATTAGGGTTTCGAGTGAGTTTGAGGGCGAATACGTCGGTTGATACATAGAGTTTGGAGTGCTCGTGGTTTTCACCGCAGTGATTATTCTCTTCTTCAAGTAAGAATGCCAATAATTTTTTATCTCATTGTCCGTTCGTCCCGGTAAATATTTCGATATTTGAGACCACCTGGTAGAAAGGAAAAAAAAAAAAACAAATAACAAAATTTTCCATTAGTTTAGTTATTTTTCAAAGAATAATCTCCCTCTAAAAAATATGAGGTTTAAAGTTATCGGTTTATAATTGAATTTCATTCACGACAAAATCGTGATATATCCAAAAAAGAGTAATCTTCCTTTTAAAATAAAGAATTTTGTAAAAGTTATATATGGTTATATATATTAACGCGAATAAGTTCATTTTATATGAATATGTATCATGTATTATGTGAATACCATGAATACCATTTATATAATATTCATACAATTTACACAATATATTAATATGAATATGTGTTATGTGAATAAGTTCTATAATTAAATTAATGGTTACAATAGTGAGTAAACTTAATTACCTGTTGCCCAACTTGTTATGGAGAGAGAGAACAATATCTTCTTCTTCTTTTGTGAGTAATCCTTTCTTTAATCCAGGCCTTAAGTAATTAACCCATCTTAATCTGCAGCTCTTCCCGGTCCTCTGTAACCCTTTTGTGATTAAAAAACGAAATTAAATAAATATATTTGTGGCAAGATTTCATAACATATATACACTAGTTGATCAATAAAAACTTGGACGCAAACGTCACGGCATCATGTTTTGGTCAATACATTGACATTTAAATTTATGGGGCAAATACGTAAAATTAGAAAATATTTCTCAATTCTGGCTAATTAATCACTAACGAGAGAGAGAACCGTTGGGAGGGTATATTTGTCTTTTGTGAACTCCCTGCAAGGGTATAACTATCAATTAGAGGTGAACACGTCAGAGTGACGGTGACCTCCGTTTTTTTTCAATTTCTATTACGTTGTTTTCAGACCATAAGTTTGGGTCAAAAGATGAACATTTAAAATATTAAGGGGCAAATACATAATTACTAGAAAATCATGTGGGGAATGAATTGATTTTTTTTATTTATAATTTTTTAAAAAGAAGAAAGCATATAATAATCCGTTTTTTAAAGCTTTGATTATTTAGTTCTGGCTTAAATAAAATTATCTAAAAGAAGGTGATGATCAACGTTGAAAGAAGCATAAGCATAAACCATCTACATTACGGTTTAGTTCAATCTTTAACTCATTATGTCCATATATATATGCATATTGAGAGAGAAGATATATACCCATCTCTCCAAAATTCATAATATAATAATGTTTTGATATTTTAAAATTTTGAAATAAACGAATTGTAACTCGAGAAACCCTAAATTTCTATATAGAAAGAAATGAATCACTTAAAAAATAAAAGCAGAAGTATTTACCGGCTTTGACAGAAACAGTGCTCCAGCATCCATGGCCATGTTTGAAGACATAATTCCTCAACTTTTCATCTTCTTCCGGTGACCATAATCCCCTCTTCTGCTTCTCATTCGATTTTAGTTTTTTATCATAATTTTTGGATTTATAGACCATTTCTTTTAACTAGCATAAACTTCAAAATTATGTATGTGATGATGAAGGCGGGGGATATGAACCTTTGGCTCGAAGTAGGGTTGGAGAAAACCGGGATTTCGATTACATATATAGCCAATCGTGAAGGGTTGGTTTTATTTATTTTTTAAATTCAATAAGGAAGATAATAAAAATAATCATTTATCAAAGTCTTCTTTAAAAATATTATTTTAGGAAAGAGGGCTTGTTCAATACGATAATTATATTCCGTGGAGAATCTTCCTTTCCCAAAATTTCCATGCATACAGAAAGAAAGAAAAATATTATATGCCACAGTTATTTTCTAGTTTTTGAGATAAGATAATTAATCAATTAATTATTTCCAAGTTGCTAGGTTAATAATGTTTACTAACTTTAAAAATATAATATAAATGTACTTTTTTTTAATATAAATGTACTTTGGTTGTTACCAATTGATGTTGTTGATATAAATGCCCATATTGCAAATCTTTATCAACTATTGTTGATAATACGATAATAATTACCCAAATACAAGGAAAAAATGTATTAACCAACTATGAACTTTTTATTGTCGTATAGACCAAAATATAGACACTCAAGTCGTCTTTAAGAACTCAACAACCAACATGTAAACAATAAGAATATATATTATATATATATATATATGTGTGTGTGTGTGTAAATAATAAGAGTATGCACACATACATATATATATATATAGGGGGAAGCTCCAGTGAAATATGAAACAAAACCATAGTTTTTACCGATTAATAATGATTAATAGACAATATACATATATATATATATACATATATGAGCAATTAGGATTAAATAATTATGGGTTGACATTGACTTAGATGAGCTAATTAGGGTAAACTACTAGTTCTCGGCGAATCAAAATGGCCTAAATCATCTTTAACCATATAAAAATAAAACCGAACATTGAAAAGGATGCACTGTTCTTTTAATCATTGTTAATCGTGATTAGTGACTCCTGTCTGTCTTAAACTAACCCTCTTTCAAGAACAACACTGCTCTATTCGCCATTGACCAGACCCTCTACCTCTGATCAAAGGTTCCGCTGCAAACGCAACTGGTCTTTTTTTTTTTTGCCGCCCCTGAGGATTCCAATTACCATAACCCCTTAGCGACCGACACTTTGCTGACGTTTCTTCCATATTTTTTCCAACTAAGTTTTGTTATTTTTATTTTGCAACAATGATTTTATTATTATTATGATTTCGGTTTCACTATTATGACTTATGACATATTCCATAGAATGATGTCATGATGGATTTAGTCAAGACCATGCGTATTCTGAATTACCTACTACTTGGTTACAGTGTCATGTGCGTATCAAATAACGCATTAGTTGCAGTTTAGTCTAAAACTCACCTTTCAACAACTTGCTTTGATTAACGGATTTTGGACCTTGTTTTGTAAATTTTATGTTGAAAAAGAGAATATATATGTGTGTGTGTATATATATATATATATTAAACGATCAAGAAAATATTAAAAAAAATATGTGTAAGTAATATATATATATATAGGGGCAGACACATATTTTATTTTGAATAAAAGAATTGAACATATATAAATCATCCAAATTTATCACACTTAACCGATAGTAAAATAGTTTAAAATTTGATACTTAAAATTTGAAGAAGAAAATGTAAGAAATAAATTATTATGTGGTCCATGTAATTTGAGTTTTTAGATTTTAATATTAAATTGGTTTTTTGATTGATAAGAACTCATTAGAGAATTAAAGTTCAGTAATATTATTGGAAGTCTTCTCTCTCCTCACCGTAATAGAATTAGGATTTCCAATAGAAATATTATAGTTCATTATCTCTATCAATTGAGAAAAACTTACAGTATGGTAGAAACTAGAAAGAAGAGAAAACTCCAGAAACTTTTTGATTCTTAAAGTTATTTCGCTACAACACATGGATTTGGGTATATTTTTCTGATCTATATTTTACTGATTATTTTGTGTGAATTATACAAAGCCAGATCCGGTTTATCGTTTGGGTTTTCATAAAAGCAAATTTCTGAAAAACTGAAATTATCTTACAATGGTATCAGAGTTTGGTTCTGGACTTCAAAATAATTCACAGGTAGACATTGTGTTTCAATTGTGTGTATATATATATCCATCTTTTTAACTAGGTTGATTCTTACATTATTTTTTTTTGCTATTTAAATGAAAAGATGAAATAAATGTAATTAATTATTATTCAATGGATTATAGATATCTGGAACATCTGGAACAAAGTTGTTAAAAATGAAAACAAAAGAGGATTAAATACAATTTTTCTAAAGAAATTACTTGTATCATATATAGAGATAACCCCACACGTATTATATTTTTTGTCGCTCGCATATACTATATTTATATCTTTTTAAGATACACACATTATTTTAAAGAGAAAAAAAATACGTTATTTGAGAGGAAAGTGGGCTAACTAACACGTAATTATCTTATCAATCATTTTCAAAGAAGGAGCCACCCAAGAGTTTTGAGGTTAAAAGAAAACTATTGTCGGATTGCTCACAAGTCATTTTGAAAATCCCAAAAGGGAATTGTTTAATCGGAAAATAAACAATTAAACAATTCTTTTAGATGTAATCATTATTTATGAAAATTGTTATTATTATTTTGAGTCAACACTTTCTTCCTATTTGCTGCGAGAAAATGACAAAGATCAAATTGAACCATAAAAAAACCTTATTAAAATATTGTTTATATTGATAATTATGTGATTGTCAATTTTTTGTACAAAAAAATTATTCCCTTTGTGATAATAATTTCGTATTTTTTTTTTGTGATATGCTATTTTTGTATTAGATTTGACCCCTAACTCTATCATTGATTCATTATATTCCACGTTTCGCAAAGAAATTGGAAGAGTTGGTCGGTCTCACAACAAATCTTTATGGGTTATATCTTTATATCTTATTAACCATTTTTTTATATATATTTCGAGATGACATTGTTATCCAATTGAATTTGAAGGGTTATATATTATTGAAAAATAAAATACGGAAATTAAATTAGAAAGAAAGAACAAAATATAAAAGAACGGAAACACTTTTATTACTACATCTCTTCTTCTTATTACATTACAATGAAAATAATCTATACATTTATAGAAAAAATTATTGAAAGAAACAATGAAATAAAGATACGAAAGAAACAAATAAGACAAAATATAATTATCACGATATATATTTTATTTTTAATCGATATTATGTCTTTAATTGTTATCAATCATATCAAATCTCCATATTTTGTTTCTATTTCAACATTCCCCCTCAAGATTGATTTTGAAAGAATTCAAAAATCAATCTTGAAGATACAATAAAATATGAAAAACTTCACTGTTATTAGAACAATCCATAGAAACCAAATTTCATTCATTTAGAGAGTATTAACCTCTTTCAAATCACTTCGCTTGACTTTAAAGTTCTAGCTTTAACTCTTTTTGTCATAGCATCTTACTTGATCTTAGAGTTTTTAGCTTTGACTTCTTTTTGTCATAGCACATCGTTTGAATCTGGTTTTTTTTACTCTCCCTTTGAACGATTTGGATATATGAATATCCAAAACGCAAAAGAAAGAAGAGATTAGAAAATTAGAAAAAGAGAAACATATAGTTCAGATCGCAACCAGGCTCTGATACCATATTGAAAAATAAAATGCGGAAATTAAATTAGAAAGAAAGAACAAAATATAAAAGAACGGAAACACTTTTATTGCTACATCTCTTCTTCTTATTACATTACAATGAAAATAATCCATACATTTATAGGAAAAGTTATGGAAAGAAACAAGGAAATAAAGATACGAAAGAAACAAATAAGGCAAAATATAATTATCACGATATATATTTTATTTTTAATCGATATTATGTCTTTAATTGTTATCAATCATATCAAATCTCCATATTTTGTTTCTATTTCAACATATATGTCTACGTCTTATTGACATTTTTTTTTCGAATTGTTAGAAATCACTATATACATATATATGGTCTATCATTCGTTTTTTTATAAATGTTAATATAAACAATGTAATACATATATATTTTATAAAAAATGGAATGTATAGTTGGGTGATATAACATGAACAATAGGAAATCTAAAATATAAGATACTTGAGAAACAATAATTGTATATATGTGTGCGTAAATTCATTCTATACAAAGGAATAAATAATTTTAAAACTCGATTTTAAAAATTATATCTAAAAGATTACATATATATATATATATATGTGTGTTTGTGTGTACGGGATAATAGATATAAATGATCCAATTCACGTGTTTAAATCATACAAAATAGTTACTATTATTTATATTTTTTTGTACGTTTATTATTAGTCCAAGATGTTTTCGTAGGTGTACATACAATATTACTGCAAAATGTGTTTATATATTTATATATATTACCACATGCATTTAGTTTTCACGTAGATATTAGGAAAAAACTACGTATATTTTAATTAATGACACTATAGTTTTATGTTCTCATTAAGGGTTAATCAGAGTAATACAATACAAAAGGCCAGTTTTATATGAATCTCTTAATCCCAAATTAACGCAGATGGTCAGACCAAACATCCACATAATGACATGCTTATTCTTCTGTTATTTCTTTCGGGAGCTATAAGTACCAGTCTTCATTTTGATCCAGATACAGACATATACGACTCAGCTTTAGGTTAACTTCAAACAATTACTCCTCCTTGTGGGCGTCACCGTTCGCCACGGCCTTCTCTCCCGGGTTTTCCGCAGTTTCCTCAACCGTGCTACTAGAAGTTTCAGCTTCGGCTTCTTCTCCCGTGCTTTTGGAAGGACCGTTCTCTGCTTCGGCCTTTGTTCCCGAGGGCTCAGAACCTTCTTCTGTCACTGGAATGTTATTCTTGATAGTCCCGACTTTTACGTATTTGCTCATGAACTTGTACTCCCAATCTTGCAGAGCCTCCAGCTCGAAAGGACCGAGACCTGAGATATCCCCTGTTAAGTCCTTTTCCTCGAACGACATCTTTGCTAGAGCTCGGCTCGCATCTTTGCCCGCAAACAGAGCATATGGCCCGCCTGGTCCATAGAACATTCTGCACAAGGGAATGGACCAGAACAGAGATATAAACATCAAGATTGAAAGTGATGGAAAAGTGAAGAATCTCGGTACAGTGACTCACATCAATACTCGATACTGTGCAAGAGAGTGATCAGGAAGTCGATAGGATATATATATATATATATATATATATATATATATATATATACCTATATGCATAATGCATACACTAATGTGTCAATGTTTGTGTTAACAGCTCAAACAACACTACTGCCGTTCAATCACTCTGCTCCGAACTTAACAATCTCAAAGATTCCGGCAATTGGATTGCAGAAAGAACTCTGTGCTAAAACCCAGATAGCAAAGAAGAAATTATCTGCCAACAATGTCAAAACCCTATTTACTACTTTCAAGAAACGAGGAAAGTAACGATGGAGGAGCAAAAGCAAATAAAAAAAGTCTTCAAAAAGCCTTTCAGACAAACATCCAGAGAATGCAAAGAGAAAGCAGAGGAAGAGAGAAAAAGCAAACTAAGATCAGCTTTATGAAGACATGCAAAAAAACCATGAAATCCCGAGAAAGGCTCAAACCAAATTGGATTAAACAAACGAAACACGACACGAGAAGCCCAAGATTTTCAAAAGTCATCAGAACCAGATTTCTAGACTTGGTACGTATATACACATATACAAAAACGCATACAAGAATGGACAAAACAAGATCAACAGATAGCTCATCACTGGGACGTTTGTCGACGAATGATAGAACCAGAGATGATAATGATAACATAATAATAATTGAAGATATTACCATAATCAAGTAAACGACCAAAATCCCTAAAAGCTCGGCAATTTTCAGAAAACGAATCACCGAGAGCTATATTGCGCAGCTACGATTTCCGCAGATTCAAACTATACCAACTGAAATTTCACTATTACTAATTAATCGACCAACAATACCGATACTGTTCGCGATGTTATCGGGGGACAAAACATAGTAACCTAGGGTTAGCTCCTTTGATCCAGGATTAAACTTATGATAATCAGAATTTCAAAAACCTTCTCAATGAAACGCGGATCATCATGTACCTGCTCTGCGAAACATCATAGATCTGACCCTTGATTGCCATGAGAAGGGGCTTCTTGGGATCGGAGCCGTCGTACTGCTTCAGCTCATCTTCAGTGACCTCGCCGAGCTGAACCGGAGGCGGGAGAGGATCCATCTGCGGCTGCTCTTCCATTGACCGAGGCCGGTGTTCTTCGGAAGAGACGAAGAAGCCGGAGACGACATGGTAGACGGCGACGGCAAGGGCAAGTACGGTGAAGAATCCAGCTGGAGAAAGTCCCGTGTAAGCTGTCATGGCTTCCTTCAGAGTCTCCCAAAGTTGTAGCGCCATGGATGAAGGAGCTTCACTGAGAGAGAGAGAGAGATAGAGAGAGAGAGAGAGAGAGAGAGAGAGAGAGAGAGAGGGCGCCAATCTGGTCAGTGGTCAGATTCACGTTTTTCTAAATGTTTGATTCTAAATTGATATTCATATGCATTTTATCCTTTTTTTGGTTTGTTTGTAATATGTCCAATTTAATGATTAAAGTAATGATCTCTCATATTAAATATTAACATAGAAAAAACAACAAGTAAAAATGCTCAAACACCCCATTAATTACATCTAGAAAAGCTTCTCAAGAAACCATTTTGAATTTTATGTTTTTTAATCATGTAACAGAAAGAAAATGCAAATTATTGTTGACTGTTATTGATTAAAAATTACAATTCAATATATTAGAATTTCCATATAAAAATAACAATTTTCATCTATCCGAAAAAGTAAAAAATATGTTAATTAAAGTCGATAAAATCTTGTATTTATAATGAAAAATTGTAAGATATAACGTTAACGAAATGTCATATATTACATGTAGTGATAACACGTAAAACGTGCAATGCATTTAATTTTTAATATTAAATTATAAAACCAGAAATTATGGAATACTCTTTTCCTCGATTTCATCGATACTGAAATTTCAAGAACTTTCATTGTACAGGGTCAATTATGCAATTTTGACATCCGATCATGGGTAGGTGAGAGGTCGATAACGTAAAATAAAAATGTGACTAATAAACTCTAATTTCATATAATATAATAAGAAAATATCTTACGAAAAAAGAAACGTGCCTCATAATTGGGCCAAGCATGGGCTTGAATAGTAAGCCCATCTCAAAAACTTGGGCTTATCGACTGCATAATCCAAATCCATGTCTAGTTCTGAAATTGACCCGGAATTGTTATACGTACCGCTAAATCAGTGACCGGTTTTGTTTGGTTATGCAATGGTTTGAACCGAACCGGAATCACCCAAAGAAACCTTGGAATCATAAAAGTAATCAGACCCAACGGTGTATAATTTAGCCTGTTAGTTGGTGGACAGTGTAATGACGATGATGCGTGCAATGTTTGCAGAAAGCGAGTGATAAAAGAGATTTCTCATATATATATGTACTACATACACACGACGGAGACACTCTCTCGCTCTCCTCATCTGGAATCAAAGTCGACCACCCTTTTGTAGGACTGTCTCTGTCTCTTCGGTTCTTTTAGCCCTTTTGGATTCGACAGAGTCGGCTTCGGTGTCTTTGTCGGTTCAGGTGTGTTTTCTTCGTCAGCTTGACGGGTTTTTGTTTCGTTTCGTTGGTGCTTTGGTTGTCAGTTTCGTGAATTTGGATGCTTTTTGTTTGAAAGCTTACCTTTCGATTAGGGCTCTGACGTGTTTTTTTGGGTGTATGGATTTGCTTGAGTTGAACGATTCTTCGTTCCTTCTTCGATGGGTACTTTTGTTTCAACTTCCAGAAACTAGGGCCTTCACCTACCTTTGTTCATTTCTACGTTGTCGGATTCGAAAGTTGATTGTCATTGGGAATGTTTTGTTCCTGCTTTATATGGTGGCGGCGGAGTAACAGTTCAGGCTTCGTGCTTCCGTTGCAGTGTTCATTGCACTGGTGAAACGAGAGTTGCATTTTGTGGTAGATTTCTTCTGTGAATGTTTTTGGGAGGAATAGCTTTGGTCTCTTTGGATAATCTGAATTCATGCGGATGATTATTATTCTTTAACGGTGGATGCTATTGAAGTGGGATGGGCAGGAGGTTTAGAGGACTGTTGCTTGAGTGAAAATACATGTCTCAGATGGAGAAACCCTTTTCTATAGATCGTTATTTACTGGTTGGTAGCTCAGAGGCCATTGGGGACCTTCTGAACTTCCTTAACTTAAGTTTCCGTTCATATTTTCCATTGGTTGGCAGCAAGTACTATGTTCTGTTATGGCTTTCAGAAGTTAGTTTAGTTTCCTTTTTGTCTGTTCCAAATGGGAAAGAACACTTGAGGATCATTTTCCATTTGAATGACCCGTATAGATCTTCTCGTTGCTTAATGGATTGAAGTTTCAGGGTAGCATGGCATCTTTCTGTTGAATGCGGAAAGTTCCTCTCAATTTGAGCTATTGCTTTGCTTCCTGCT